GGCAGTGTGGTGATTAAGGGCCGGTGCGGTCTGAGTCCAAACCTTGCTTTCTCACTTTCTCTCTCTCTCTTTCTTGTTCTGTCCATACTCGCTGGTCAAATTTAAATAAATAAATAAAGTTGAATAAAATAATTCTTTTTTTAAAAAAGAAGTATATCCATATTTGTTTTCCATTTTCTTGCCTCATCCTTATTTCCCAACCCTGGTATCTTGAGTTTTTTATCCTTCGTAATATTGCTGTAACCCTAAGAAACAAGTGCACCAATCTCACCAGCATTCAAACTTAAGCACAGTCATGGACTGCATAGTGATATTCTGGCCAATAATGAACTGCATATATGATCATCTATTTGCTCCCATAAGAATATCATTGGAGGGACGAGCAGTTAGTGTAATGGCTATGTCACTGGACTCCCATGTAGTCGACTGCAGTTTGAGTCCCGGACCCAGTGGCTTAAACTCACACTGGACCCGTGTGCCTGCATGCCCAAGATCCCGAGAGGAGAACCGAGGAGAAGGGATTGTGGCATGGTCATCCCCCCTGGAGGGAGATTTCTCACTTTTTGTCTCTCTGTCTCTCTCTGTCTTTCTGGTGAGCGCACGTGTCCTATAGCAAAAACCTCTCAAAAAAAAAACACATATACATATATATGTATATGTGTGTGTTTGTGTGTGTGTATGTATCTCCTAGGTATGTAATAGGCTATATGTACTTATCAGTAAGTTACACGATTCTCACTGTTCATCCAATTGTAAACAAACAAGAAAAAACAAGTGACATCAGTTATTACCCAATTTAGTTGACTTAGAAAATGAGGTTTAGGAATTTTGAGGTGATAAAATACTGATGAGCTTAATGCTTTGAATTGACGCTGCAATGTGATAAGACTTTGGGGGATGTTATATGTTGCATATGACCAGATATTAATTTGGGAGAGTTACAGAACTAATTGTGATAGGTATACTAATGGCCACCCAAAGAAGTTCACATTCTTATTCCTGGAACTTGTAAGTACATTATTTTACAAGGTAAAAGAGGTTCTACAGATATTATAAGAGTACAAAGTTTGAGATGAAGAGGATTGTCCAGGTATGTCCACTTTAATCACTTTTTTTTTTTTTTTTTAAGATTTTTGCCATAGGGCTCATGGGCTTGCTGAAGTGAAACAGGTAGTCAAAGAGAAAATGAAAAATCACTCCCTGGGAGAATAACCACACTCAGGATTTGGGGCATGCATGCACACATGCCCAGCATGTTTTTCAAGCCACTGTGTCTGGGACTCAAACCTTAGACTCAGTGATGTGGGATGCAGCCATCTTAATTACCACACCACTGGCTGGCCCATAATAACATGATCTTTTCATAAATGGAAGAGGGAAGCAAAAAGATGTCCTCTGCTACTGTTTTCTGGCTTTGAAGGTGGAAGAAGTTGTTCCTTGAGTTAAGGAGTGTGATTGGCATCTAGAAACTGAAAACAGCCCTCTTTTACAGCCTACGCAAAAAGGAGAGACCTTCATCCTATAATTACAAGAAAATTAACTCTGCCAACAACTCAAAATGAGCAGGAAATGGACTCTTCCTGAGAACCTGCCAAAAGGAAAACAGCCCTGCTAATAACTTGACTTTAGTTCAATGAGACCTATACCAGATTTCTAACAAATGGAGCTATAAAATAAATTTGTGTTGGTTTATAAGACTAAATTGAGTAATTTGTTAGAAAAGCAATAAAAAATAAACACAACATAACTAGCTCAATCTTAATTTCTCCTCTAGAGTTAAAGGTCTTCCACTCTGAAATCTTATCATCTCTATTTACTTCTTGAACGAATCAAGATTCTATTAGCAAGGAGGAAGAGGTGGGTGCCAGAGAAAGTGCAAATGATCAACGCCTATCACAAATGACTAATCCTCCAAATTTGGTTAAATCTCTTGGCGTATGTCTCAGACTTCTGCTACATGCTTTATATCCCATCAGTCTCTAGTCTATGAGAAGATCTTCTCTTTCTCTTTTTTTTTTTTCAGAGAGATTTTTGCCATAGGGTGCGTACACTCACCAGAAAGACAGAGAGAGGGAGACAGAAAGCGAGAAATCACTGGAAGAGTCCAACCTGGTAAGGCCCAGGATCTGTCTTGAGCCTTTTGATCACTGAGGTTGGACCCCGGCAAATCACCCCCAAGGGGGGATGGCCGCACTGCAATCCCATCTCCTCCATTCTCCTCACAGGATCTTGGGCAGGCACACACACATGCGCCCAGCAAGAGTTTTAAGCCACCGGATCCAGGGCTCGAACCACAGTTGACTACATGGGAGTCCAGCGACATAGCCATTAAGCTAACTGCTGGTCCCCTTCTCCTTCTCTTTTGAAGTTCTCACCACCTGTAACACCTCCAGCTGATTGATTCTTATTACCCCATCAACTAATCTATGGACTCCCCCTCCTTCTCCTTCTTCTTCCCCTTCCCCTTCCCCTTCCTCTTCCCCTTCCTCTTCCCCTTCTCCTTCTTCTTCTTTTTTTCTATAGGGCACATGTGTTAGCCAGAAAGACAGAGACAGAGAGACAGAAAGCGAGAAATTACCACACAGGGGGATGGCCATGCTGCAATCCCTTCCCCTCCATTCTGCTCTCGGGATTTGGGCACGCACGCACACGCGCCCAGTGTGAGTTTAAGCACCGGGTTCGGGACTCAACTCGCTGTTGACTACATGGGAGTACAGTGACATAGCCATTACGCTAACTGCTGGTCCCTCCCCCTCATTCTTTAAAATACTGCTCAGACACGTTCTCTTCCACTAAATCTCAAGATAAAATTATAGTTTTTATCATAATCATACCATTATATATGTATAATATATTTATGATATGCACATGATAGGGATAAGGGAGACAGGGGAAGAAAGTATCCCCCAATGGGGTGTGGCCACACCACAATCCTTCATTCTCCTGCGTTTGGTCATATGGGAGCTGACTCAACCAATAGGCTACAAGCCTGTCCTACTTTTGTATATTTTAAAATCAGCTGGAAGTCAGTGGCAGTTTATTGCAACCAAAGGCTCACACGTGTTCAACAGGTATTGTTTGATTTATAGCTAATGTGAGGAAATAGATTGAATTCTCCAAGGAATAGTTCTCAGGAACTTTAACAGCAATTATGACAAAACTGCTCTCAGAAGGAACTGTTATGTGCTACTAGTGACCAGGAAGTTTGAAAGATGAAGTTTATTACAGGCTAGAACCTGGAAATCATTTCTCAAGTGTCCTAAGTAGCCATTACATAGTATAGGACTTGTCCATGCGGGTCATTTTGGCCCCTTATGACTTAACTCAAGAGAAAGCAATAGGTTTTTTTGTTTGCTATTTTTCTCCATTTTTTTTAATGTCTCACTTTAGTGTTAAGAGAAAACGTAACCCTCTTGGATACACTGCAGTGCCCAAAGATTGCTGTAATTCAATTATCTCAAAACAAAAACAGAAGACTGAGTATCTTATGGCTATCCAAGGCTGTTTCCAAAGTGGTAAGTGTGAATGCAAGACCAGGTCTCCCTTGGTGCCCACACAACCACAGGGGTTCTCCTACAAGGCAGGTGAGAGGTTAGGAGTTTAGAGAAACGCCATCTACCATCTAGACCTCAGGTAAAGGAGCAAGATTTGAAAGGAAGAAAGAGGAAAGAACAAAGACTCGAACCCTGGGTCTCATTAGGGACATTATTAAAGCAATAAGCCGAGGTTTCTCACCCTTGCCTTACTCCTGCACCGTGGGGCAGGCCGGAACTACACTTCCCAGAATGCAGCGCGGCGGGCGGGGCTAAAGCTGGACGGTGTTTTCACCTCGGCTTGCTCAAGGCGCTTCTGGTTTCACTGTAAACTCCAGCCTATGCCGTGGTGCTCCTCCTCCGCCGCCTCCTCCTGATTGGCCCGGCCGTCCGTGCGTGGGCGGACGTTGCATGCGTCACTGGCAGCGGTTGAATGGAGGCTCTGCGCCCCGAGTCCTCACGGTAGATGAAGTCTGTACCCCGTTGGGAGCTCTAGGTTTTCCCGCCACGCCAGAGCAGAAGGACTACATTTCCCAGGAGGCTGAGGGACTGCGGGCGGCCTGGGGGTGGAGCCTCACGTCTGGTACAGTCATCCCTAGCCTCAGCGGCGGGACTGTGATGGCCGGAGAAATGACGATCTTAGGTCAGTGGCGAAGGGGGTCCCTGTCCTCGCCGCGGGCAGGGAGAGGGGCTGTGAAGGCTGGGCTGGGCCAGGGTGATTGTCACACCTCCTGGATCTAACTGACACAGCGGGAGGGAAGCCGAAACGGTGACAGAGAGGCGGTTTTTGGCTTTCCAAGTGCGTGGGGGCGGCGGGGCGGCTCAGGATCCCAGGCTCCTACAGGCCCTGGTGGGGTCGGCGGCGACCAGCTGCGGACATCCCAGGGACGTCGCGCTAGGGAGGTGTTCTCCCCAACAGACCCTCACTTTTGAATTGGTGTTTGAACTGGGGCTTTTGGGAAGCGGCGGGGACCTACGTCTCCAGGACCCCGTTGTGGAGGAATGGGGAGGAGCGGCAGTGGCCAGGGTTGTAGATGGGGATGCTGAATTTGGAGGGATTCACGCCCTTTTGGTGTGTAGCCCAAAGCTCTTAGCACCGAGTCATGCCAAAAATTACCATCCCCTTCGAAAAAGTGATGAAATACCTCCGAAATTGTGCCTGTAGGTGGGAGGAGTTGAGATTAGCCCTTGGTTTCATTTCTTTGAGTTGATGAAGATAAACTAACAAACACAGGGTCCTACAGATTGACGTTTTGAGATTGTAACGCAAGTGAACACAAGTGTATATAACACGGCCTCTTGAAACCAAATAGAAGAGATTAATTTTAAATTAAAAGTGGTATTTTTGTTTACAATCTGCATGACATTTGTTACTTTTTTAAAAATCTTTTTTGACCATATGCTTTTTTTGACATGGGGAATACAACAGTGAACAAAACCTGCCCCCAAGGAACTTGCATATTTGTTCCCATCAGGGTTGACCACTTTTATGCTTCTTCTCCCTGAATATTACCTCTACAAGAAGTATAATATATCCTTAATTCATACTTAAGTACATTAAACGTTAACTTCCGTTATGAAGTGACAGTTCAGTATCTAATCGACATTCCAAACCATTTTATCGAAATGATCCATTTCATCTTTTTGAAAGGTAAGTGGAGATAATATGTTACTATTTTAGCTTTACAGTAACAAAATTTTAGCTGTGAGAATATTAATGGAGTTCCTTTTTATTAATGATAATAGTATTTATAAAGCTGTAAAATGAAATGTCAGTAGTTCAGGAAAATAGGAATATACCTAGCATTTGTTTCAGATAAGTGGTACTTCCTGTCAACATCAGCACAATTTTTATTGAAATATTTTTACATTTTATTCATTCAGTCACTCATTAGCGAACTGTACAAACATATAGTTGCAAGATTTCATTTTGTTTTATTTCATTTTTAATTGTATTATAGTCAGTTTTCATTTTTAGAGAAAATTGATGTTTGTGAGAGAAGTGTTATAATGTAAAAGAAAATTTTTTAAATTTCTTTTTAGAGACTTTTGCTATAGGGGGTGTGAGCTCACTGGATAGACAGACAGAAAGCGAGAAATCACCCCCCCCAGCCCCCCACCAGGGGAGATGGCCTTGCTGCAATTCCTTCTCCATTTTCCTCGTAGGATTTTGGGCATGCATGCACATACGTCTGGCATGAGTTTTAAGCCACTGGATCTGGTACTCAAACCACGGTCAACTACGTGGCAGTCCAACGATGTACCATTATGCCATCTGCTTGTCCCCAAAACAAAATATTTTGAGATTTGTATTATCACCCTTGTTTCAGAGGATGGTTGTAAGGGGCTTTAGTAATTTGTATACTGTAATAATTTGATAAGAAATGTCTTTTAATTTGCCTATTTCAGGATCAGCTGTTTTGACTCTCCTGTTGGCTGGCTATTTGGCACAGCAGTATTTACCATTGCCTACTCCTAAAGTGATTGGCATTGACCTTGGCACCACCTATTGTTCTGTTGGGGTGTTTTTTCCTGGCACAGGAAAAGTAAAAGTGATTCCAGATGAAAATGGGCACATCAGCATACCCAGCATGGTGTCCTTTACTGACAGTGATGTATATGTGGGGTATGAGAGCTTAGAACTGGCAGATTCAAATCCTCAGAACACAATATATGATGCCAAAAGATTCATCGGCAAGATCTTTACCCCTGAAGAGCTGGAGGCTGAAATTGGCAGATACCCATTTAAGGTAAATAATTCATCTAAAATCTGTTTTAATTCTAGTGTAGAGTACTGTTTCAATTTGTGCTTTGGCTTCATGTTACAAAACATAGCAACTAGCTTAATCTACATAGAAGTTATATTATCTCACATGACAACAAAATCCAGGGCATTTTCAGGATGAGTTAATTCGGTGACTCCACAGCGGTATCAGGGACTTAGGGCCTTACCATGTACTTGTTCTGCCATCCTCAGAATATCTGTTTAGTTCTTTCGAGGTGGCAGAAAGACTGATAAAACCCCATGTGTTATAAATGGATATTTTATGTGTGTCTGGTTGTGTGTATGTGTGTACATATTTGTATACATATGGGTAGATACTATGCATGCCGTTTTGTGACTTGTTGAAACTCAATAATGTGTCAGACAGTCAGTAGGTTTGCATCATTATCTTTCATGGTCGAATGGAATGTCTAATGCCATTCTTTAACTAACCAGTCCATCAGTATGTATTTTCTTTTTGTCCTTGATTTCCACTGATATTGGAGGTTTATTGTACAGCTTCCTGAAAATTTCTTAACTTAAAAATCTAGAAATAGAATTGGTCAAGTGTGTATCGGTTTTTAAGGCTTTTGATTTATATTGCCAGATTGTACACTGAAACAGTATATTCTTAGCCATTATTATTAAGATGTTTGTCATTGGACATGTGTGCTTGCTGAACAGAGACAGTGAGAGAGAAAGTGAGAAATCATCCCCCACCCTGGGGGGGGAGATGGTGACATGCAATGTCTTCTCCATGTTTCTTCTAGGATTTTGGGCATGCACACACACACACCTGCTGTGATTTTCAAACTGCCAGGTCAGGGGGTCAAACCATGATCGGCCATGTGGGAGTCCAGTGCCTTAACCGATAGGCCACCTGCTGACCCCAATCATTTTCTAAAATGCTGTATTTTCAATAATAAATTATTATAATTTAATATTTTTAAATCAGATAAGTGAAAAATGGCATTTTATATTAATACTCAATCCTTTGATTTCTTATAAGATCAGAATAGATCAAAATTTTTCTTTAGTAATTAATTTCTTATTGTTTTTACTATTTCTTTTGGCATGTTTCTTTTTTCCTTAATGTCTATAAAATATCTTCTTTATATGATTTACTTATATTTTCTTTCTTTTTTTTTTTTTTTTTAACCTAATATATATTTTTTGGGGGGGGGGGGGAGTGGGAGAGAAAGGGCTCTGTTTTGTTTTGAGTTTGTTCTTTCAGGGGAATGAGAAAGAAAGCACCCCAGCAGGGGTTATGCTTCCTCCCCCAGTCTTTCCAGTCACCAAGGATCAGGACTCAGCTACCTGTTGTGTACAGACAGCCAGACTACACTTTCAGTCTTGCGTATGGATCTAGTTTTGCTTCATCAGCACTTACTGCTAAACTACTTAGCCATCCTTGATGATACATACATAATTTTATTTTTAGCTGTCAAATTTTAATTTTTTTTTTTTTGGTTAGGAGAGGTTTTTGCTATAGGGCACGTACACTTGCAAGAAAGACAGAGACAAACAGAAAGAGAGAAATCACCCTCCAGGGCGGATGGTCACACCGCAATCCCTTCTCCATTCTCCTCTCGGAATCTTGGGCACGCATGCACACACGCCTGACGTGAGTTTAAGCCACCAGGTCTGAGACTTGAACTGCGATCAGCTATATGGAAGACCAGCAACATAGCCATTATGCCAACTGCTGGTCCCCATATTTTAAATTCTTGTATGGTTAAAGTAATATCAATAATTTTTTTTTTTTGGAGAGGCTTTTTTGTTATAGGGCGTGTGCCCTCGCCAGAAAGACAGAGAGAGACAGAGAGACAGAAAGGGAGAAATCAACCCCAGCGGAATGGCCATGCCATAGTCCATTCTCGTCCATTCTCCTCTCAGGATCTTGGGCACGTACGTACATGTGCCCAGCATGAGTTTAAGCCACCAGGTCCAGGACTCAAACCGCGGTCGACTACATGGGAGTCTAGCGACATAGCCATTATACTAACTGCTGGTCCCTATATCAGTAATTTTTAAAAATGGTTTTGGACTCTACCATGCTTACTATAGCCTTTCACATCCTGTCCACTTGCTTTCTTTTCCTCCCCTAATGCTTTATGTGATTATTTTGGTTTGCCTTTTGCTAGATTTTTTTGTTTTCTTTTATTTTCTGGTTTTTTGTTTTGTTTTTTATTTATTTATTTTTTTTTTTAATGAGACAAATATTTATAACAATAGCTTGTCATAGCTCCCAGTTAGCTAGAATTAACTGATTGATGCCATCATACCTAACCTGAGGAGCTCACATGGCCTCTGCCTGAAAGCAGTGGCTTTCTACCACTTGTGCCACTAAGTTTAATCCTGAGTTTTTGTCATTGTTTTTTATGTTTATTTGTCATAGGGCATGTGCACTTGCTAGAGAGAGACAGGGATGGGGTAAGTGAGAAATCACCCCTTAGAGGCAATGGCCATGCTGCAGTTCCTTCTCTATTCTTCTCTTGGCACACACATGAGCCTGGTGTGATTTTCAAGCGTACAGGTCGAGGACTCTCCACATGGCCATGTGGGAGTCCAGCACCTTGACCACTGTGTAAGCTGCTGGCCTCTGTTTTGTTTTTATATTTTTAGCATTTAAGTCTTTTTCAATGGAGGGTTTTTCTTATAAGTTATGAGGTGGAATTCAAAATGAATTCGTTGATTTTCTTTGTTTGTTTTTATTGTGAGATATGTGTGGTATTAGCCAATATCTTGCTGTCTTGTTGTCCTCCTACCTCAGCCTCCTGAGTTCTTGGGAATACAGGTGCACGGCAGTGTACCCAAGTTGTAAATGAATCAGTTTTAAAATAGGTAGTTCTATCAATGCTGCTTAGTGAACAGTCCTATCTGTCCATCACAATTCTCAAACTTGCTATTCATTTTTAAAGGACGAAAAGAATAGCTTCTAGTATTTCTTACATTTAAAACATCTTTGTTCTTTTTTAGCTTCTTTTTTTTGGAATTCTTTATTGATTTATAATCTTTATGTAAAGAGAAAATCATCTAAAACTGTATATTTACTCTACACTTAAAAACAGGTACATTACTGTTGATCCAAGGCTTCTTTCAATTGTTTTTTAGTGATCTGATTTATTGTTGTTTCTGTTTCATGGACTCTGTGGGTATGGATGCGTTTGTGCCATGTTTTAATATTGTCGGTATGTCTTATTTTATTTTCTTCCCTGTAATGTTTGGGAGTTCAGATCTTTTTGACTGAAGCCTACTTATGAGGTTTAGAATGACTGCAGAAAAATTCTTCTAATTTCTTAAAATAGATTGATTTTCCTCTACTGGTATTAATATAATCTGTTTAAAAAACTAAGATACTGTGTTTTAGAGTTAATTTAGTCTTTAAAATGTACATCTGCATTAGTAGAAATAATAAACTAATACATTAATACATGTTTTCATGGAAAAATAGTATAAATATTTGATCTTTGGATAAAAACAAAATGAAGTAGTAATCTGAAGAAAAGATATCAAGAATATGTTATATATGAAGAATAACAAAATTTTGCTTAGTATGTACTAGAAAGTTTTTTTCAGGTATCTGTTACTTTTGGAAAAAGTTACTTGGAATAAAAAGAGAGAAGATCCTGAATTACATACGTAACTGTACAACTGTTATTTTATTTAGGTCTAACATATAATATACATATATACTTATAAACTTTACCTTTTGTGTGTGTGTGTGCAAATCCTATTCACAGGTTTTAAACAAAAATGGAATGGTTGAGTTTTCTGTGACAAGTAATGAGACCATCACCGTTTCCCCAGAATATGTTGGCTCTCGACTGTTGTTGAAGTTAAAGGAAATGGCAGAGGAATATCTTGGAATGCCAGTTGCCAATGCTGTCATTTCTGTACCAGCAGAATTTGATCTAAAACAAAGAAATTCAACAATAGAAGCTGCTAACCTTGCAGGTAACAGCACCCTTGCCTGAGTTGTATTTCAGAAGATTGAAAGTCTTCTGTACTAAGAGCATTGTCACTTTGCAAGCCATTTAACTGTAGGCACATAAATTGCAGGGGGGGTAAATTCAATGGATTTTATATAGATTTATAAGTGATAAGTGAAAGCACTGTAGCAAAATGAAAATGTGTGTTACAATAAGATCTGATCAGAGAAATTACATTAGAGGCTGAGAAAGAACGTGGAGACAACAGTGAGGGATTTTTTTTTTTTTTTTAAGAGAGACTTTTGCTATAGGGTGCATGCTCTTGTGAAAGAAAGAAAGCAAGCAAGAAATCATCCCCCCCGGTGGGGGTGATGGCATGCCACAATCTTGTCTCCTCCATTCTCCTCTCTGGGTTTTGAGCATGTCTGTACACGTGCCCAGTATGAGTTTTAAGCTGCCAGATCTGAGACTCAAAACATGGTCAACTACATGGGAGTCCTGTGACATAACCATTATGCCATCTGCTGCCCCCAACAGTGAGGAATTTATTTTTCCCTAAACTTTCTTTAATATTAAGGTGAACATAATATAATGCCATTTAAAATATCTGAGGTAGAAGATAATTTAAGAATATTCGAAAAATAATTGAATGCTTCAATAAATACAACAAATAAATTTACATTATCCTAGAGTTTGTATTCTCTGGGCAGAAAATCCACATACGCATAAAAGATAAGTTAAGTCTGGGGTTACTCACCCTCAGCATTATTGACCTGTTGAGGAGTGAAATTCTTTGTTGTGGAGCATTGTCCCCTGCATTACAGAACAGTAAGCAGCATCCCTTTTCTTCTCACTAGGATTAGCAGCACCCTCCTAACCAAGTGGTGACAATAAAAGTGTCTCTGTAATTTGCCCTGTGTCTCTTGGGGGTAAAATTGCTCCCGCTTGGGAACCATTGATGTAGCATATGTCCGAAAGTTACATGCCGTAGAAAAATGGAAAGAGCCAAGGGAGGGGACTGGATTGCTGGTGGTGATCAGTAGATGGGGGTCCTACAAGTTTTCAGTGGAGTG